GTGTCAATCATGTGATCCAAAGTTGTTAACTGAAGGATGGACTAGTGGCAATGAAACATTAGATGAGTTGATTAAAAATACACAACTTAAAGCAACTGGGTATTGGAATGATGGTTATCTTCAATGGATTCCTTATAATGATTTAACAAACATAGAAAGGATAGGTGAAGGTGGGTTTGCAACTATATCCAAAGCTACTTGGTTAAATGGTGGGAAATATGTAAATTATAATAATATAAGAACTATTGAAGATAGGACTGTGGCATTAAAAAAATTACATAATTCACAGAATATTTCTGATGAATTTCTTAAAGAGGTAAATTAACTAGTTTTAAAATATTATTGATTATTATTATTGTTGTAACTAAATATTTATTTGTTATTTTAGCTCAAAAATTATACAAAGTATCATGATAAAGATTATATTTATGGATTAACACAAGATCTGGCTACAAAAAAATATATCTTTGTAATGAAATACATGGAAGATGGAAGTCTTCAAGATTATGAAGAACTATATGTTAGATATGATAATGAATATATCAGAAAGGAAAGGTATGGGGAATGTCCAACTTGCAATAGATATAATACTCATTTTTCATGGTGTCAATCATGTGATCCAAAGCTATTAACTGAAGGATGGACTAGTGGTAATGAAAAATTAGATGAATTGATTAAAAGTACACAACTTAAAGTGACTGAGTATCGTTATAGTAATCATCTCCAATGGATTTTTTATAATGATTTAACAAATATTGAAAAGATAGGTGAAGGTGATTTTGCAACTATATCCAAAGCTACTTGGTTAAATGGTTGTAAAAATGTAAATTATAATAATGAAAAAACTATCAAAGATATGCCTGTGGCATTAAAAAAATTACATAATTCACAGAATATTCCTGATGAATTTCTTAATGAGGTAAATTAATTAGTTTTAAAATATTATTATTGTAATTAAATATTTTATTTGTTATTTTAGCTCAAAAATTATACAAAATTTCATGATAAAGTTTATATTTATGGATTAACACAAGATCCAATTACAAAAGAATATATCTCTATAATGCATCATATGGAAGATGGAAGTCTTCAAAATGATGAATATTCTGATGAAAGAGACAAAGGATATGGGGAATGTCCAACTTGCTATAGATATAATACCAATAAGGCATGGTGTCAATCATGTGATCCAAAGCTATTAACTGAAGGATGGACTAGTGGCAATGAAACATTAGATGAGTTGATTAAAAGTACACAATTTGGAGCAAGAAGATATGCTAATAATTATTATTCTTATCTTCAATGGATTCCCTATAATGATTTAACAAATATTGAAAAGATAGGTAGAGGTGGTTTTGCAACTATATCAAAAGCTACTTGGTTAAATGGTTATAAAGAAACTGTTGGAAATAAAATATTTATCAAAGATATGACTGTGGTATTAAAAGAATTACATAATTCACAGAATATTATTTCTGATGAATTTCTTAAAGAGGTAAATTATTTTATTTTTCAATTTATTTTCAGATTTTTAAATACTATTGATTATCATTGTCGTAATTAATTATATTATTTGTTATTTTAGTTTCAAAATTATATGAAGCTTAATGGTGAAGGACCTATAATTCATACTTATGGATTAACACAAGATCCAATTACAAAAAAATACATATTTGTAATGAAATATATAAAAGATGGAAGCCTTCAAAATTATTTAACTAAAGATTTTAAAAATTTAAAATGGGGAGACAAAATTAGAATTCTTTATAAAACTATTAAAGGTTTAAGAAATATTCATAAAGAAGGAATTATTCATCATGATCTTCATAGTGGTAATATTCTTCACAATAATAAATATATGCGAACGTTTATTGCAGACTTAGGATTATCATGCCCAGCTAGTCAAACATCATCATCAAACAAAAATGATATATATGGAGTACTACCATATATTGCACCAGAGGTTTTAAATGAGAAACCATATACAATGGCATCAGATGTATACAGTTTTGGAGTTTTGATGTCTGAAGTATCAACTGGTCAACAGCCATTTAATAATTTGGCACATGATTCTGATCTTGCAGGCAAAATATGTAATGGTGTAAGACCAAGATTTTCAAACAACACACTAAAATCCTATATTGGTCTAGCATTAAAATGCATGGATGCTAATCCAGATGAACGTCCAACTGCTGAAGAAATTTATAAGACTATTAAAATTTGGCACGATTCATTTAGTTATTATAATTATTATGATATGTCAGTTTATATATGTGAATCAATCAGAGAAAAGTTTGAGAAAATGGATGAAATAAAATTTGATCCTTCAACAATTACTACAGTAATTCATCCAAATGCTATTTACACTAGCAGACTCTTAAAATTTACAAACCTTTCCCAACCTGTGAATTCCAATAAAGTAACAATTATTGGTAATAATAATGGTAATTATTAACATTCAATCATTGATTATTTTCATTTTTATTAATTTTTAAAATTAACAATATCCACTCTTATGATAAATTTTTTGTAGATTCTAAACAGATTGATTTAGCTATGCCAGATTCTAAACAAATTGAATTAACCATACCAGATGAATTACCTGAATAAGTTAAATCTTGTTATTTATTTATTATTTGTTATTTTTATTTATTTTTTAAATATCTTGAGTAATGATGTTATACAAAGGTAACTTTCACAATTATCTTTGGAATTTTTTTCATTTGAAATTTGGATGTTGAATATGCACACTAAAATAATGACTATTGACAAAAAATAAATGTAATTTTATTTATTTCAAACCAATGATTTTATTTTTTATAGCATTAGTAAGTTGCACACTAAAATATTGATTTTTGACAAAAAAATAAATGTAATGTTTAATAATCATAATTGCAGTATTATTTATTTCTTACCTTTTCAAATCAATGTTTTCATTTTTTTATATTATTAACAGGTTGATATAATATTTATTAATATAAAATTCATAATTTAAATATGATAAAAATTATCAAATAAAAAGCTCATATCTAATCATTTTACTTACTTGTTGAACCACTATTGCAATCAACTTCCAGAAGAGGTTTCCCATCCTCCAGATTTAGTTGACCCAAATGGTTCTTTTCCCCAAAAAATACACAACAAAGACACAAACTATGGTAGACTGATTACAGGTTTTGTTGAATCAAACAATGTCAAACTCTCGGTCTTATTTAGAAACTCTGACCTGGAATTTGATGTTTCCCCCAATGGAAAGGGGCACTATGAGTACTAAGGATGTTAGCTGAAATGGTTTTTGAAAAAATCAATTTTGGCAAGCAATTTCAGATTTACAATATTCTTTATACCAATAGACATAAAAAAACTACTGAGAATTTTAACTATTGAGTTAAAGTGTTCAAATAATTTCAGATATAATTTTGACAACTAATAAAGTTGATTTTGGTAACTATGAAAGACTATTTCAGCATTTTGGATTTGGCAATGATAATTTATTAAGAGAGCAATTTCGGTTAGCATGCTTAATGAGCACATTAAAAAATACCACCTTCAATAGATAGCTAGCCACATTGATGCTTGAGAAAAGAAGAAATTTTCAAAATTAGAACCAGATACTGGGCATCAGAAATGTGAACTGTGAGAAACATCCAATCTGAACCAACTTTATTGTTAGTAGCTCTTATGGCAGCCATAAAATCCTGGAAAAGTCAAAAGCCACAACCTTGCTTTCGAATTTGAGAACTATGTCTTTTTCAAAAAGAAATAGGTACCTACAGCCTTCCCACACTTTTGCAGGTACATAAATTATCAAGACTGATGAGTGGGATTTTTTTGAAAAGTAATATATTCAAATAATCAATTATTACAGCGAAAGACTCCTTCATTCAGTCATTTAATTTTTCTTTCCGAAATAAAAAGTAATACAACCTTAGTTATGTAAACCAAATTAGGCATTTATATAATTTTTATATAGAAAAATATTTTTAATTCTAATACTAAAGAAATAAATTCGAAAATAAAGACCTGTGGTAAATAACAAGAGTTGTCATAGTAATATTTCATGAAGATGAGGCCATTATAAATACATTATTAGTAATGAAAGAGGATAAGAAAATAAAATATCAGCTCATATGATTGTAGAGAAAAAGGTAGAGATTGACTTTTAATAATTTTTTTTATTTGCAAAAAAATGTAGAACATTTAGACCCTTCTTCTTACTTTATAAAATGGATCAAATGGATAAAGAAGAACTTCAGGTTTAAATGGCCAATTATCATATTTTTCTGCAATCTCATTAAATTGTTCCACTGTTAAATTTGTGATCAATGTCTTTGAATCAAATGATAAATCTTTAAGAAGTTTTTCGGTTCCTGCACCTAAAGTTCTTTAAATGTATTTAAAAAAACAATTCACTATTTTATATTTATTTACATTAATAATAATAATAATCATTATGATTGATATTAATATTATTTTACCTTATCATTTCTTCCACTTTCCCTTTCCTTTTAACCAATAAATGTGATACAACATATTGATATGTTTGCCATGGAACTGGAGACCAAAATATGGAAAGAAATTAGCATATAAATATAATTTGAATTGAAATATTAATAATTCATTTGATAATAAAAGGCTTATCTTTTACCAGTGATTTTTGGAGTTATGAATGGCTTCAAATCCAAAAGAGCATATTCACCCTAAAAAATTTTCATATAAAAATATTTAAATAAAATAAATTACAATTTGTAATTAATACATTTTAAATTTAAATTTTTACTTTTGGATAAAATCCATCTTTAAATATTTGTAGCAATTCCATATCTCCAAGACCTTCTGCAAATAAATTTAATTGACTTCGTTTATTATCTCCTTCTCCTGATAATAACCTCTATCAACATAAAAATCAAAAATTTATCAGCATACATGTAAATAAATAAGTAAATAAATGTATGTGTATGCATGTGTATATGTATTGACCTCAGCTTGACGTGAATGAGTTATTAGATACATTGGTATACGTCCAAATGATTGTAATCCCCATTTGTCATAAATCATTGAAATTATTGATGATATCATTTGATCTCCCATTTTACCAAAAGGAATTTGGCTCACAGAAATAAGTGATGGATGTCCTAAACAAAATTATATTTAACAAACATACACACATTACATGTATCTTTGATTGATAGTTTATGAATTAATACCCATTTCCCAAGAAGATATTGGTATATCAGAAAAATCTTCTTTTTTATTTAGAAAATCTGCTTCCAACATTGGATCAACTTCAAAGACATCATATCTATGTTGTAATTCTTCTTTCAGTGGCTTATGTGTAGAGGTGAGAGCAAGAATTAAGATTGTAAGATTCATCTCATGAAAGTAATTTTTTAGTAATCAGGTTATTTATATTTAACACATACTTGTAAATAACTGACAATATGTTTTAATGGCTCTAAAGAAAATACTTTTTTAACATTTTTGTTTTGAAGTAAAGCATGTGTCAGCATTCCTGATCCTGTTTAGGATTTCAAAATAAATAAATAAATATTTAAATATATTTATTCATATATATATATATTTCCAAGCTTAATTATAATTAACCAAACCTGAAAAAATAGAGACCAACCAGGATTTATATCAAATACTATTGCATTTTTAGGAATCTTTATTGCATTAATAATTTCATCTATCAAAAAACATTTTTTTTTTTTTTGAAATCGTAATTAAGTAAAACTTTTATATATGAATAAAATAATTTTTTTCAATTTACTTGCAACATTTGCATCAAGTATATTTATTCGACTTCTTGATATTGAACGGTTCATAACTTTTGGTCGCCACATCTTTTGCAAAATTTAAAATTCTGTATACTGCAGATCTGCAACAAAAAGTAAAACCCTTAGAAAAAATATTATTTGAACATGAGAGGTTTCGGAAGCTGATCGTTTCACACTTTTATAAACAGATTCTGATTCTGTTGCTATTACAAGACATTAACTCAGTTATTGCCATTAATATCTTGATCACATCACAACATTATATTGGCATGGTGCAAGTCACTGAACTTTTTATTGGCTATGTATATTCTTTAAATCCTCCAAAAATAGAAATGTATGGCCCAAAAAACAAATCATATAATTAAAGCTAGGAGCTTACTCTACAATTCTATGATTTCATTTCGTTTGATATGTGTTATTACATGAGGTATATAGCTTGACAAAAATCAGGTGATTGAGCTTTACTGAAATTTTGAAAAATCAAGTGAAAAATTTTTTTGTTATATTAATATGTAGTCAACTCGTGCAACTTTGAGGCTTTAATCCCTCAATGGTAACGTGACATATCAAACAAAAGACCTTTCTTTACAATTCTATGATTTCATTAGCTTTAATTCTATGATTTTGGCCATACCATTTCTATTTTTAGAGGAGAAAAGGATATACAGTACACAGCCAATAAAAAGTTCCGTGACTTGCATCATAGTGGTAGTACGTCGAGCCCCTCAAATTTATTTGCATGAAAATCTTAGGTTCTAAATCTTTGCGAAAAAAGTTGCCAAGATGTCGAAAAGTTTAGATCGAGTGACTGGTACATTTCAAATTTGTTGTTATTATTATTATTAATATTATTATTACTATTTAAAAAAATGGTTTATTGATAATAAATAGTTCTTGATGAATATACACGAAATCGAAATACTCAACATCATTTAAATGCACTTGAACGTGACAATTACGCGGTGATTCCTGAAATTGAGATCATGTCAGGAACCATAACAAAACCACGAAGAGCTTCTGAAGTTGATGTTAGTGTCAGTAAGTATAAATTAGAAGCGATAGCAACTAAAATAATAATAATCAATTGATTTATATTTATTAGATAAAAAAACCAAAGCAAGAAATAAAAAAGAGCTTGTGAAACAATTGGCAGTAAAAAGAACTTTGAATTCTTTAATAGAAGAAGCAGTAAGATTTATAATATATAATAATTAATGATTAATTTTATTATTATTATTATTAAATAAAATGAGGGTTTTTATAGGGACTTGAAGAACTTCCATCAGATGTTCCTAATTATCTTACAGCTGCAGTTGGACCTTCTAAATTTCCTTCAAGGAAATTTTGCTCAGTCTGTGGATTCTTATCAAAGTATACTTGTAGAACTTGTGGAATGAAATATTGTAGTTTAAAATGTTTAGAAACTCACAAAGAAACAAGGTTAATATATGTTTTTGAAATTTATAAAAATTTATAAACTTATTAAATGTTTTATTTTATTTTTTAGATGTATGAAATATACTGTCTAAAGTATTTCACGTCTTTTGCTTCATCCAGTTCAATACTTTCTTTTCATACTTTGAAAGATCATTAAAATTTTGATATTTATTCAAATATTTGAACAGTTGGTCTATTCTCCAGATTAGGATTCCAGCAACTTTTCATTAATTCCGCATAACTTCTAGGCGTATCCTCAGTTATCTGAGGCCTTTCCCCATTCCAAATACCCAATATAAGACTTCCATCGTGTAGCCTGCCATAAAATGGGGTTTTATCCAAGGTAAAGTAAATTCCCATATAATCATTCCAATGCTGTAAACGTCGGATTTTTTTGTGTACAACATTCCTAATAATACTTCAGATGGCATGTATGGAAGCACTCCAAAAGTTTCTTTCGAAATATTATCATCTGAATTATTATTATTGTTATCGTGGCTTGACTGACCTAAGCTCAATACCTATCTCTCTATTGCTTTTCCAATGATGCATCATTAGTCCATTTCAACTCTAATGGTTTATTAATTGAATTTTCATAAAAAAAAATTTTTATATCTTCTTTTTCCCAACAACTACCATCATCACCACTTATTCAACTTCATTATCAGGAACTCCTGCCAAAGAATCATTTAATTCTATTTGTTTTACATCACCTTCTTCCAGCCAATATCATCATCATCAAAGAATTTCTATCAAAGAATCATTCAATTCTATTTCTTTTCCTTTATTTATTTTTTACGCCATTGGAATTTATTTCTTCATTAAAGAGTGGTATTTTTATTGGTGCAAACTTCGTGGTGATACATATCGATCAAAATCAACAGTTACAAAAACAGTTCAAATTTTAATATTATTTGTTGTGTCCCTAAATTTTTTTACAAATATTCGAAAATCAATTTACTCAGATATTTGAATATATATCATTTATTTCGAATATTTGTTTTCGGATATTAATATTAATTATTTCGGATATTCGTAATTATTTCAGATACCTATATTTATTTTGAATATTCGTAATCATTTCAAATATTTGTTACGATTACAAATATTTGATAGATAAATTTTAATTCCTCAATTTTCAAGTATGGGTGGATTAACTGATTTAACATTAGAAGATAAGCCAACTCATGTTCGTGAAGGTTATCTAACAACCAATTCTGAAACCTTTTCATTACTATTACCACCGAATAATTCATCAGCCACCAACCAAGAAAACGTGATAGGAAAGGTAGGCTACATGAAAGCTTCATTTAGTGACGATGGAAGTGTAAGAACATGCCAAGTTCAATATAAATGTCTTCTCAAAACCAAATGGAATATGATTGTTTTTCTTTTATAGTAAATATATAATTTAGTAGGTGTACTGTAATTTGTCAAGTATTTATCAAAATTAATGAATTCGAAATAAACAAACAAATGATTACAAATATTTGAAATAATTACAAATATCCAAAATATTTGGATTTACGAATAGAATAATAAAAAGGGGTGTAAGATTACGGTTAGGAACCCTAATTAATTGTTTGTTGTCCCATTAAATTGTTAATAAACAAATATTATTAATATTATTTTTAGATGTCTATTTAAATAAAATAAGCTTCAAAATTTTTGATGAATATTTACATACTTAATATTGAGAATGATATTTTAAGTGTGTGATTTGTGATCAGATGACTTTGTCAAATAATTGTGTTATTTTTTCTTAAATTTTTTTTGAATAAGCATTTCTATTTATTATACAGTTGCTACAGAGGATGAACGGGATACATAAGAAAATTTTATTTAAAATCAATTGTGATAAGATTACTAATCTTGCCGCAACGGATTTTCATTTGTTTTTTTTTATATGTGAAAGCAAAAATTTAAAAATTCGTTATTATAGTCCACTGTGACAAGGTTTGAGTTTACTAAAAAGAAAGACTAATAAACTGTATACATTATAGAGAAAATAATATAAAAAAAATAAAATATATCTTCTTTTCATATTCTTTAAAAGCTTTACCTACAACTTCAAAAAATCCATTCATTCCTAAACATAATAGAATTATAAGGTTGTCTTTTCTCATTTTGATTATTGATGATAGGTCAATTTAAATTTAGACCATAATCCATTTTTATTAATTTAAGACTTGCTGTAATAGTTTTTTTTGTTCACGTTAATTTCGAGTAACATTATGGCACAGTTGCAGAAAATTTACGTGTCAAAATTAAAGCATTATATATTTATCTTCCAGCTTGCCGTAATTTGACTGTTCCATTCTTATTCTTTAATCTCCTATGCGAAAGCAAAGGCGAAGCTTTATATATAAACTTACGTCTCAATCATCAATGATAGATCGTTATGTATTGATACCTTAACTTTGGCATGCTTTGCAATAGTTTTTCCGTGGCGTTGAACAACATTTTCGCTTATTTATTTTTTCAAAAAGTTTGGTTTAATTACCATTATTTATTATTATGCATGTATGTATGTATCTATGGTGCATGTCAGTGTATAAATTACTAACTATATTAATATTAATATCAATAGTTATCACAAAGTCTAGATGCTTTTCCAAAAACAGTAATAAAATTTATCTATGAATTTTCGGGGTCCTCATGCACCATATAATCACCATAATTCATTTTTTGTCCAAGTATGGTACTGAAATTATGAAATTGAAAATTGTTTGTACTAGTTGCACCAACGGTTCTGCTTATCATTATCCATTTAGAATTAGAAATCAAATTAAAAAAATTGTAAATTATTTTATTTATAAATAAGAATTTTTAATAATTCTATTTAACTTTAATATTAATTTTTTAAAAATCAAGAAAAAATGGATGGAGATGCAAAGTTAATATTATCATTAATTGCAAAAATTAATATGAAAGTACGTTAAATCAAACAATTTCATATATATATATATATATATATTATATATTAAACAGTCTAAATTCATTTTGTAAGCTAGCTCTTTGCTTATTAATTTTTTCTTGAAAGTTACCATGTAATAGTGGTAAAAAATTAGAGATTTTAGAATCAGATCCTTTAATGTTACAGACAGTAAATTCAATAATCGATTTATCAAGATATAGACTTAGTTTTATAGCAGATAATCTTGCGCGTTTGTTAGAGACCATATCAAAGGTATCTAAATCTATTTACCTATCAATTGATTGTTTGATAATAATAAATTTAATCCTAATAGTAGAATAATTTTCCTGGTGTCATTGATAAATTTTTTAATTTATTAGACAACATTACCGAATGCTACCGAAGAAAACATTCCGATTGATATTTTGCAATCTCAATTATTCATTATTAAAATACTTTCAGCATGTGTAATAAATCATTGGACATTCGTTCAAGGAATAAATCGTTCATTAGCAAAACAACCACAATCAGAAACTACCCAAACACCTTTGGGAGGTTCCAAATCCAATCATAACTATCATAATTCCACAAATGGTCATAGAGTATTCATACCACCAAAATCATCTAATGATCCTCCTCCATTAGAGGATTTTCTTGCTAAATTTATTTTAAGTGTTTTATCAAGGTTTCTTCAGCAAATGGCTAATTTAGAAGATAATACTAATAGCGACAAGCAAAATTTAAATTTAAATGCTCAAAATCAGGCTTCAATAAGTTTATCTGCAAATTTAAATTTGGGTTCTATTATATATGAAATTATCTCTGATATTTACAGGCATGCTGGCCATGTTATTTTTTACATAAGCGCCTCAAATTGGAATGTTGTATTTTCAAGAATTAAGAGCAGAATAGGTTATTTGACATCTACAAATGATGACTGGCCAGAGACTGCAGAATTAAAATTTTTGGAATGCTCTGATTTAAATTCAAAAAGATTGTCAATAGTTATACAAGGTTTTAACATATTTTTATATCAATTTAATTAAGTTTAAATTTAAATATATATTAACAATGTTAATGTTTGTATAGAGTTATGTGGTTCATTCCTTAATCTTAAAAAGTCGGCACAATTAGCTATGGCCCAGGTTTTACGTAAATCTATTTGGAATTGGATTAAAGTTTTTCCTGAAGAATTTATAGCTTTATGTCAAAGTGAAAAACGTCTGGAAGGTGGTCCTGAAATTTTATTTGATATTTGTAATAATCTAGCTGATAACAACCGTAGGAAACAATTTTTTTGGCCATTACAGACAATGTTGTTGATTTTGTGCCCTGATATTCTTCATAGTGCGGCATCGAGTGAACGTACACCCGTTATGTCAAAAAAAGTATTTCATACACATCTTTATTTATTATTTAAAAATTGTCTTTTATCTTTTGAAAATTAAAATACAATAATTTATAATTGTGAAAATTGAATAATTTCAGGTGGCTTTTCTTGAGAATTTGAAAAGTTCTCTAAAAAGGCCTCGTTTAGCTGAAGTTGCCGTTGAATGTTATGTTGATATATGTAAAGCTTCAACTTATGTGTCTAGGAAAGATTCAAAAGCTTTACGTTTGATTGTACCAGAAATCGAGAATGATTTACAGGTATATTTATAAAGTAAAAATAAAAATAAAAATAAAAATAAAAATAAAAAAAACCAAATTATTTATTCATTCATTAATTATTATTTTTTTTAAAAAAAGGAAAGACTTTTTGATCCTGCTAGAAGCTTGACATACGATAATCAATTTGATCAAAGCCTTATGACTGATTGTTTGATTGCCTTATTCAAATTAAACGATACTACTTTAAAATCATTAATTCCGGTCTGTCTAAATGAAAATGCACCGAGTGTTTTCAAATTAGTATTGGTTAAAAGCTGTTATGTTATTGCTTCAGATGTATAGTCACAATTTTATGTTTATTGTCTCTCTTTTTTTTTTTTTTGAGTATTTCTCAAACTTTAATAACTTTCTTAATAATTTATTTTAAAAGGAAAATAAATTTCCTTGGAACCCGCAGCTTTCAACAATGTATCCTGTTCTTGCTGCACCACTTCGAAGTTTATTTCATCAATATATTACCAGTCGTGATAAGTTAGATGTTAAGAAAAAGAAGCAAACAAAAGAAAGACCAGACGAAACCAACGAAAGAATGGAAATTATTTTAACGATCTTGAAATTGTATAAATCTGATCCTTTGCTAGTACTTATAGTAAGTTCCAAAACTAATGATTTTCAAAATTAATTGATAAACACATTTTAAAACTTATAATGATAAAATATATTGCATTTAGCATAGTGATGCAAACGAGAACCCTGAGGAGATTCAAATGGTCATTTACGGGATGACTCTATGTGTAAACGATTACAATCCTGTAATTCGCACCACTGCAGCCGAAACATTATTAAAGTTACATGATTTAAAATACATTGAACAATGGAGTCCAAATGGTAAAAAGATGCGTAATTTTTGGGCTATCAGGTAGAGTAATTTTTGGTTTTTATTTTTATTTTTATTTTGTTTTTCTAAAAATACTTAAAATAATATTTAATCGAGTATTCATTCCTTTTAGTTCACAAGTTATGTTAGCTATTGCTAGGCAAATATTAGAATATAAAGAACCTGAAGAGAGTACAAAATATTTGCTTGATCTTTTACTTCAATTATTTAAACGACGTAACGAATTCTTAAAAGCTCATAAGGTATTTTTTTATATTATATCATGCTTTTGTTTAATGTTTTGACATCATTGATTAAAATATCTTTTTTTAAAAAAATTTTAAATAAAAAAAAAATAATATAAAGGATGAATCTCACATTGGCATTAATACACCTGAAAGGCTTGGCTGTAATATTGTACTTGAAATTGCATTATTAGTTTTGTTATGCTCATCAGATACAGAAATTTGTTCAATGTCAATGAGTTGTTTTGGTCATTTATGTCAAGAGGCTCAGCTAACTGCTGAACTTATAGGCGACGAAGTAGACATTCAAGCTGTTCCACCCTCAGAATTACCAATTGTAGAGAATATGGATGTATATTTGGAGTTATCTTCAGAACCATCCATAGTTCCAGGTAATAAATATATTATTAATAAATAAAGAAATTATGGAATGTTGGATTTTTTTTTAAAATGTAAATAATTTATAGGACGAATTGCACAACAAAAACGTATAAGAAAGTTACTTCGGTTGATGAAGAAACCCACCCCAGGAAATCTTGCAGCATGGGAAGAAGCTTATAAACGTTGGAAAGTATTGACATCATTGATTGCAAGGTCAACAGATGACCAAACAATATCAGAAGATATGGGCAAAAAAAGAATGGCAAAAATGGCTAATCAATTTACTGTAGTACCTACAGATGTAAGTTATTAGGGCCATGCATAGTTCTTTATTTTTTTTTTGTGTATATGCCTCTGTATGGAAAATAATTTCAAAATTATATTTCAACAATTTATAGTCTCAATCAAATGAATGGCTGAATTACACTGGATTTCTTGCAGCAATAGGAGGGTGTTGTGTTAACGAAAAGCAAATAAATATAAATGGTGATGGCAGATTTTATGATCCTTCAGGAAATGAACATAATGAACATATAATTGTAGGTCCTCAAGGATCAGATTATCATTCAATGGCCGAGCAATTTGTTCAAGAGATGTTTGATTTGTTGGTATGTGATACAGTTTATGTTCGTGAAAATGTTAAAGAGATGCTTGGTTCAGAATTGAGTCCAAGATTATATGTTATTCTTTTTCGAAATCTTGAGTCAGTTGTTTCACGGTTTTTTGATGCAGATGGGGAGGCAAAGTCAAATGAAAGATGCACAATTTTTGCGGAACAAGCAATATCTATTTTGAAATTGATACTTGAACGTATTCAAGATGCATCCGAAAATTTGTATACAGTTGATCTTGGTGGACTTGTTTTATCATTTGCCCGATATTTAAATAGACTAGAATCCAACAGTGTGGCACTTCGTGTCAAAAAAAAGATGTGTCAACTCGCCGAAGTATTAATGATCAAGAAAGATTATATTACCCTCCGGCAAGAGATCAAATTAAGAAATAAATTATTAGAAATATTTATTGAATGGACATTGGATTATTCTATGGTAAAACCAGATACATATAAATTAATTATTTGATTGATTTTTCTCAATCTCGTACTTATACATTTTATATTGTTAAATAAACTCAAAATAGAAAACTGATGGAAAAGGCAATGATGATATTTCATCGAGTAAGAGTGAACGAATGCATCGTGATCTAGATCAGGCTTGTTTAAAAGCAATTGTTTCCATTTTGGCACAATTGCCTTTACAACCATCGGAGACAGTACATGAAGCAGATCTTAGCCTTGTTAAATCACGTTTATTTTATAAATATTTCACATTTTTCATAAAATTGTTAAATCGATGTCGTATTTTAGAAGTAAGTTAAATTACGAAAAAAAAATAAACTAAATATGAAGTTAATTAAATTAAATAATCATACATAAATTTTTATTTTATTTAAAGGCCATTGATAGCGGAACACAATCTGCAAAAAATAATCCTGATTTACAATTGCTTTTGTCAAGGGTAAATATATATATGAATGTATAGTTTTGTTCAATTAAAATCTTATTATAAAATTTATTTATATCGTTTCCTTTTTATAGTCTAAAGAATATGTCAAAGATCTAGGTCCATTGAAAGATTACACTATTTTGGCATTAAGTAATTTGCTTAGTGCTAATGTGGATTCAGGACTAAAGCATTCTCTTTCGATGGGTTACCATGAAGATACTAAGACAAAAACTGCTTTTATGCAAGTACTTACAAACATATTAAACCAGGGCACCGAATTTGAAGGACTTGCTGAAAATGCAATGGATGATAGATTTGATAAGCTTGTGGAGGTATTTAATAGGGTTACTCTCCTCTCTTAAATTTATTGATTATTCATGAATTAAAATTAATTTTTATTACTTTGTGTTCTTTTTTTATATATATTTCATAGCTAATAACTGATTCTGATTTGAGTATTGCGCTTTCACTTTGTGAAGTCTGTCCTGTGTCTGATATTGATGAAGTTTCCCGAGTGCTTTTAGCTGTTTTTGATTCACGTCATCAAACCATGCCTTTGCTAAAAGCTATTATTGAAAAAGAAGTAGCAAATACAGGTACTTGATTTATTAGATTGACTAGACTTATTTTAACCAGACAGTTCTAAAACAAATAAAAAATTAATTATTAATATCTGTTCGTCTTGACAATTATTATTTATTTTCAAGAATATGAGTCAGATTTATTCCGTCGCAATTGTATGGCCACTCGTATGTTGACAGCCTTCGGCAAAACTCATGGAGCTGAATATTTACGTAAAACCTTACAGCCACTTTTGGCTAATTTGTTAAATCAACAAAATGATTTTAGTTATGAGCTTAATCCTGCAAATTTAGGACCTGATGAAGACATTTCAAAAAATTTACAGAATTTGATAAATACTGCAAAATCATTTTTAGATGGTATATGTGCATCAGGCCGTAATATGCCAATGTAATTGCTTGTAATTATGTATATATGTATATGTATATTGTATAATGTATTTAATTGTTTGTCTGTTTTCATGCATTTAGATTATTTCGTGAAGTCTGTCATTATATTGGAAAATCTGTAGAAAAAAAATATCCACAGGCGAAATGTACAACTATTGGTGCTTTTATATTTCTTCGATTTTTTAATCCAGCTATTGTGGCACCAGATAGTGAAAATCTTTGCGATACCATAAAAAACGCAAAAATCCGCCGAACATTATTGCTAGTTACCAAAGTTATACAAAATCTTGCAAACAATGTTCTTTTTGGTGCAAAAGAACCCCATATGATTTTGTTGAACAATTTTTTGGATGATAATATTGTTAAGATGACTGCTTTTCTTGAAGAAGTTTCCGTAAGTAAAACACAAATTTCATGAATTTTATAAGAATCGTCATGATTTTAATTTTGCTAAATTCAAGCCTCTCTAATTAGGAATTACCTGTTGCTTCACAACTTTCCGAACACAAATCAAGGGAGGCATCTAATATACATAGATTAAGTGATGCTAATCGGAAAGCATTCCATAGACATCTTGTTGAAAATCAAGAAAGAATTGCTAAAGATCTTCAAACACGTAGGGTAAAATCGATTGGCACTACAGTGCACAATAATATATCTTTAGATTTTACTTATGCAAATAAAAAGTCTTGGGATAAAATTTCAACTCTTCTTGCACAAATTGGTCCACCAATTGAAAGTCAGAAGAAAGATTTTGCTGTCATTGGAACAAATCATTTTGAAACAAATAATCAGCTTTTTTCAGAATTTATGCGTAGAAATGCAAACAGAAACATCGATTCAATAGTATCTAAAGAAATATTTTACAAAGGAGGTGTTTCAAAAGTTAGTTATAAATTTATATTATCCTTTTGTTTAAATAAAAAAAAAATAAAAAAAATTATAAAATAGGAATTAAAACAAGTTTTTCTTTTAGGAAAAAAGACCATTATTTTATTTAATTTTACGTAGACTTGAGCCTGATTACATAGATATGGATCTTTTAATGTATCATATTTTACATGTAAGTGTTATTTAGATCCCGTGATATTGCATAATATTTATTGAATAGGTTGGTTGAGATTGCTTTGTTGTTGTTTTTTTTTGTAGATTATTGAGCCGTTTATGACCAAACCGTATGAAATTCTCGTTGACTTGACTAAATTTGGGCAATCTAACAAAATTCAATCTCAATGGATTCAACAATTTATTCTAATGCTTCCATTTCATATAGTTGATAACCTAGCCACATTATATTTTTATAATGCAAATACAGCTTTTAAGAACTTTTCCAAAAAAATTACATATATCCTTTTTTTACAAATCAAATTTTATATTTTTGTTTATAGAATAAAAAACATATTTCTTTAATCAAGATATACATCCCCTTTCTAATAAATTATTAAAAAAATCAATATTTCTATGCAGTTTGAGTGAATTATATGAATACATTGCACCACATGAAGTTCGATTACCAAAAGGCACAGGTTAGCTAAATAATTTAATAATTATATGAATTTATAAAGTCTAATTATGACATTATTTTATGATTTATTTAGCACAACTTGATACAGATAATACCATTACATCATATAGTCAAATTGTAAAATTAGCACATTATAAAGCACCAATGCCAGTGACTATGAAAATTGGCGGTGAAAATATCCAAGTTATAACGGTAAAATTATTAAAAATCATGTTGAAATTTTATCTTTCAATTTTTATTTCAACATATGAAATTTTATAACAGGCTAAAAAACAAGATTTAATTTTTGGATTGAGCTGTCAACTTAATGATGTATTTCATGTATCAGAGATTGAGGATATTACATTTTCATCTAATAAAAATGTTAACAATGAATTTGCAATTAAACAAAATGGCAGACCATCATTTATATTTGCAAGTCCAATGAGAGACACAATTATGCAGGTAAAATTTAACACGTTTTCTAATGCAATTATAATTTTAATATTTCTTTTTTTTATATATTTACCTCCTTCAATTTACATTCTTTTAAGGCCATTCGTACTTCTAAAGCAAAATACCAAATAGCAAAACCAAGTAAAGTCACTGAAAGAATTTTAAGACCAAATGATGTACCAGGAACTTTGCTAAATATGACATTATTTAATATTGGAAGTGAAGATCCTAATCTTAGGCTGGCTGCATATAATCTGCTGGTCTCTCTAAGTAATGTATTTAACTTTGATGTAGGAAATCAATTATTGGCTACAAAAGGTATATTTTGGAGTTTATCATCATCATCACATCATTATTTATTAATATTTTGATTAATAATTAATTTCAATATATATACATCAATATTTTTAGGTTTATGTATTCCAGCAAATAATACAAATTTTATAGTTGGGATAAGTGAAAAACTTGCTGCTTCAGAAAGTCGACTTACTCTTGATTTTCTAAGGGAATTTTTTGTTGGGTTCAACAAGTCAAATACACCAACAAAACATTTATGTCTTCAATATATGGCTCCTTGGTTGTTAAATTTGGGTCAATTTATTAAAAATCCATCAGGAAATCCGCAAACAAACAATAAAACAAGAGACATAATCCGAAAACTGATTGATCTGACAGCAAGAGAAATTGATGTATGAATTTTTTTTTTAATTATTTATAATATTATTCTTTAGATCATTTATATTTTAAATTAAAGTCTTTTTGATGTTTTGCATTAGTTATACACTACCGTTCAGTCTAAAATTTGGAGTACTTTAGCCAATGTAAATGAAATCACAAATTTAATAATCGATGAATTTTTACTGTATGCTGTTGAACATGGTATAAATTCTACACAATCTGAAACTGTAGCCAACACCATAGTAACTTTATCTTCACCAAGCATCCGTGGAAAAATAATAGCCAGATTGAGAAAGGTGCTTAAATTAATGCGTGTGTGTGGGGTGGAGTTGGATCAATTTTATTTTCAAAAATTTTATTAATATATATATATTTAGGTTATTTCAAGAACTTCTTTAAAAGCAACAAAAACTCTTACTGATAATCCTGAATGGCCTGAAATCGCAGTTTTGGTCCGGTTTAATTTAATGTTATCATTTAATAATGGAAATATTCACCAATATCTGCCTGAATTATTTTATATTGTTTCAGTTTTGGTAGCAACTGGCCCTCCAATTATAAGGGCATCAGTTCATGGACTTATTGTAAATTTAGTTCAATCGTTATGTACATCAATGCCATTAGAAGATTCCAATATGAAAAAACTTGGTTTATTATTGAATGAATTATCTGAACCTAACTACCGTTACTTTTTTGGGCTAAACAATGTATTTGGAAATGCTTTTATGATTTCTCCAGAATCTATTAATGATATATCAGACAGTATGCCTTTAGCATCATTAGAAAAGATTGTTCAAGCACTTTTGGACGTGATGGTATGTGGCTCTGCTTCAGTTGGTAAGTTAACAATAAATATTTTTATTTATGTATCAGATATGAATAATATAAATATTAAACTGAATTGAATATCCGCATACATGTGTATATAGACATGTCAAATACATGGAGAGCACGTTGGATGGGGCTTGTTGCAAGTACAGCTTTTCAACATAATCCAGCAATACAACCTAGAGCATTTGTAACACTAGGATGTTTAGCACGTGAAGAAGTTGATGATGATCTTTTATATCAAATCTTGGTAGCATTAAGAGGAGCGTTGTTAATGTTTACAGAAAATGATTGTTTGCTTATAATAAGCATTGTTATGTGTCTTACAAACATTGTAGAAAACCTACCACCAGGTTCACGTTATTTGTTACCATTATTTTGGCTAGCCATCTCACTAGTTCAAATTGGTCATGTTCCAATATTTCCAAGTGCAATATCACTATTACAAGAAGTTTTACGAACTTTAGACAACAATAATGTCTTTGAAAATAAAGATATTTCTGAAATACTTTTAAATGCTAGAATTCCATTGGAAGAAATCGGCGTTAAAATGGACAGTGAAGCAGGGTTAAATTTCGAATATTTTTCATTCGCAATTGCAGCTACACTACTTAAAGGATTGAAAAATCCAGTCACGAAAACTGGCACTCAAAGTTTATTAACATCATTTTTAAACATAGCATCTAGAGTTGGGAATAAACGTCGAGATGATATTATAGATGCCAACATGCTAGGTTATCTTGCAGCATTGTTACCGGTATCGGCCAAGAATCAGGATATGAAAGAATTGTTATGGCTTTGTGGAATTAGTGATAACGAGATTGATAATTCCGAATTAACAACAACCTATTTTAAAATCTATGATAAATTGGACATTCCAGATAACGAGGCTGCTTTCCTATTAATTTCATTGATGATAGCAATTTTAAATAATGCAGAAAATGAATCTGAAAAATTGTTTCTTTATGGATTTTTGGCTGAGGCTGCTAAAGCACTACCTGGCGTTTTTTCATTAGTGTAACCTTTTTTTTTTCTTTTCTGTTTAATTATTTACATTGTCAAATTCAAATTTTCCTTAACACAGATTAATATAAATTATTATTATTATTATTAACAACAGATATGACAGTTTGCTTCCAAAGATGACACATATAATAAACAATTGTGAGACGATACCGATTCTTGATTCAGTTCAATCCATTCTTTACACAATTGTATCATCGGAAACTAAATTTTCGTCAAAGGGTAATAAAAAACAAATGTCATCGTATCTTGATAATCTTGGATTTTCAAATTTGATGGAATGCGGTTCATTTCAAGATATTACCAAAGAAAAATTGAAAACAAATGCGTTACTAGCAAGTGATTTGGTTGATAAAATAATAAATGGATAAAAAAAACAAATTTAAATAAATAGATTTTTTTTTTAATATACATATATATATTATTTACTTTATAAATATAATTTTTAATAATTTTATAAATAATACAAAATGATTAATATTACAAAAAATAAAATAAAATAAATAGACAATAAAGAATAGAATTTTTATTATTTACATATAGTAGAGTTTTTTGAAATCACAAAACATTGATTGTAGTGATCTTGGTTGTGAATCCATTTATTTATGAGAAATAATTTAAAGTCGAAGAAAGTGCTTTTGTCTGTTTATATAAGAATAATGATTTCAGTGAACAAATCAGGTTGGTAAATGTCATCAAAGGGTCGTTGAATGTTGCTTTGATAGAGATAGAAATTTGGGTTTGTAAGAATATGTATGATCTAGAGAAATCAATTCTCTTTTACCAGTTCAATTGCCCGTATCGATTCTTGATTTAGCAGATGTCTAATAAAAGCCTTGATTTAACTAAAGCTCCGAACGGTCCGGTTACAGTTTGGTTCGGATTCGGGTTTTTAAATTATCATTGAACGCAAGAAAAAATTATTTTTCAAGTACAATTAAACCCTCGTTCCAGCGAATTATAATTAAATCCGCGCGTTTCAACGAATTTTTAAAAAATCTCGTCACACATTATGAAAACATACAAAAATTCGTTGAAACGCGATTAGTAATCTCGTTTCAACGAATTTGAATGAAATTTTTAGCCAATTTGTTGAAACGAGGTTTGACTATACAAGCTTCTTGTATACAATTAAATTAATTAGTAGCACTCTAATCAACAAAGGTTGCACTTTAATTACTATTTAGCAATTTAATCATGAATCTGCGCCTCTTGTGTAATACAGTGATTTAATTCCGAAATAGTATTTCAAATAAATTGATAACGTTATCGGAATTAGAAATTAAATGTCAATTCGTTGGTCGACATTCTCAATTCCGCATTAATCAATTTTTATAATTTATTTACATATGTAAACTCGATAAAGTCGGCCATGAATGGCTGGGCATGATGGTCCGAACCGACTTTTCAAGAACACGCGACTTTAAATTTTTAGTATAATACTGATCTTTATATAAGTTGTTCGGAAGATCGTGAAATCAACCTTTTTATAGATACAAATATAATAAAAACATTGTTCATGATACAAAAAAGAAATGGTTTTCCTAAATGATGCAAGTAATGGTATAACTTAAAATACAAAATGTATTGTTCATGATAGAAAAAAGAAACACTTTTTCCGAGATGATAATAATAAATGGTACAATCGATGATGTAACTAACAAAATAATAAATATAACTTACTAGATAATATTAATATTTATAATATTTGAATATTACACGTTACTAAAATAGTAATGATGACCTCTCAAATGCGAATATCATGTGAGACCGGCTTATCGATTTAGAAGAAGGGTTGGCCCGACTTACAGCTTATCGTGATTTTATCTAGATTGACCGACTTATCGAGTTTACCTATGTATTCCATTTTATTTATAACATTATAATATGAATTTTGCACTTGGAAAATCTATATATGAATCATTCTTTTAACATGAATTTTATTTTAAAATATTTGAAATTTAAAAGTGAGCGAAATAAAAAGAATGTGAATATTATGCACAAAGAAAATAATTTTGAACTGTTGGGATGCGAAATATCCTAACATCCCTTTGCGCAATGATGTAATTTTTCATAAAATGGACTATTTCGTGGCCAAATGGAGCATTGGTTGAGTAGTCTAATAAATCACCACAAAAACATATAAATAGACCTGCTATCAGATCAAAAAAAGGCAATAAAAATAACATCCGAATTCAAGGGTGCCAAAATGGTACTCGTGATTTAATTTTTACAATGCATTTGAATGCGAGAGTTGAGTCACGTACCAGAGTAGTTACTGAAGTTTTATTTATAAATTTATTATTTACGTTTTTGCGTAAAAATTCTAGAATTTGTTTCGTCTGTATTCGAACTGGGTTGACAAAACCCTAGTGACGATGACGGGACTATCGTTTGCAAACGGGTCAACACATCCCTTGCTGAAGATATTATAGTCACGGACGCTCGCAATGGCTCAAAAAATTAACGAACAAATTCAAGGGCAAAACAGTGGTATAAAAGATCTAGTTATCAGAAGAACATCTTGAATCCATGAAAAAACAAAATACTGTTATTTATTACAAAACACAATTGAGGAATTAGCAACCAAGTTTACGAAACTGGAAATTGGCAAGGACTCACCCCAAGGGTTCAAAGCAAAAATTGAAATATATAGCTGTTATAGAGACCGGATGGGAATGTTCATAACATTAAATCAATTAATTAAAGAAAATGATCGAATAATTAAGAAGTTTTGGAATTGAAAAGAAATTTAATTCTAATTAAAATATATTTGAAGCAAATTCTTAAAGAATTTAACATGTTAACAGAACTAAAATCCCTTGGAGAGATGGCTGACTTTAAAGAAATTTTATGAAAGCATTATATATAATCAAACAAGGAGAACAAAAGAAGAAGATTATCCATAAACATTCGGGGAAATGATAATAATTGTACTTATATGGCTGTCAGGAGGGGGGAGGGGCAAAAACATTTATTATAACAATAACAATAATACAGTTCACCCTCTCTATAATGAACATCTTAGTAAACACTCTGTAACGAACAAAAGCAGAAAATTACATATAATGACGGAGAGTTCATTATAGAGAGAGTGAATTGTAAATCAGTGAAAATAAATTTTGATCGATGCAAAAATTAATTTTTTATTACAATTTAGAATTTATTTTAATGCAATAATTCATCATTATTGGTTGATGCAATAATTCATCATTTAGCTGTAGACTAAATAACCATTACCTTGACAAAATCCACCACTGAATATAAAATGTTAAAATGATGTTTCACATATTTGACTGAATCGAGATTATTCGGGTCTACCCCGATTCCCCGACAGGATGTTTTCTAAAGTGCAATCATAAAACTAGTCTCAATTCAGTTTGTATAGGGTAGTCAATTTAGTTGGTGAAATGAGATGTCGGGGAAATGGGCGCAACCCAAAAGGAATCGGATGCAGGATTCTTGAGACTGCCACCAATTGAGGAACCCGCAACCAAACCAACAGAGATTACTAAAAAACTCGGAACAGATTATTAGGTATATAGTAATAGATTTGAAAATATAAAAAATATTTAAGTTCTATTATTTCACTTTCAAACGTTGAAGATGTGCGAGTTACATCAATAGTTTTTAAATAATAAAATAGATAGATAGATAATGATCAATAAAAATTTTAATCGAAAATTGGGAAAGGATTTTAATTAATGTGTGATCGTAGATAGATAGATTAATGATTTTAATTTGCTAGCAGTAGTAGTAGTAGTAGTAGTAATAATAATAATAATAATAAAATTAAAATTAAAATTAATTCTGTGATTTGACATTATTGTTGATCCAAGTATGAATTATTATTTTTATAGTTTATATTATTTATTGTAAACAAATTTTATCTAATTCTGATATGTTATACTTTGCTACGTTCACCATGATGTCTTGCATTTTTAATCCCTCATCAGAGAATATTGATGGCGGAGTTGGATGATTTAAGTATTGGAAAAACAGTTTGTTTATGATTGGTAGGATGTAATTGGACCAAATATAAAATCGATATTTATAAGAAACCTGTATGTAATTGTTATTACTATTATTAAATAATAATGATAATAAATTTTGGATAGATAGAAATAACATACCCTAACATCTGGATTGATAAATATCTTATTGTAACCCAATTTTCTAAAATCACTATACACCAAACAACATTCACTTGCCTCAAATGGTAAACCTTCTTCAAGTAATGGCATCAAGGCACGAAACCTTACATTATGTTTCACAAAAGGTTCAGCATTCATGACTACCACACCATTCCAACAACTGAACACTTGTACTGGCTCACCATTATAGATCTGTTGTTGAACAGTAGGGTTATAGAAGTATGGATAGTAAGAGGTCGGAGGCCAAGGATAACTGTCACTTACATTTAGCGATGATGGTTCGGAAGAGTAGGAAAAAGGAAGAGGTAGTTCACGTGTGGCAAAAGTATCATAGAAGGTCCAATAGTAGTCCATGGCACATACAGCATCATAATCATAATTGTTTGTTTCTAACAGTGTTAAAATATCTGACACTGACCATAATATATCATTAAAATATATGATCTTGTCAAATTTAATAATATTATTATTATTATTATCATCATCATCATCATCATCATCACCCTTCATTGGTTGGCTAAGTGACAGTAATGGCTTTAACACTTGATTTCTTAAATTAGCCATATAAGGAATTCTTCTATCGTAACGTTTGGAATTATCATCGGTAATTATTGTATTTGCCACACCTAAAAGGTTAAGAGAGGATTGAAGAGTGTAAAGAAGTGACTTTGTTTTGTCTTTGCTACCTGTGGTGTAGTTGTTAAAATACATATGGCGTATATGTGTGTGAGTATGATTCAAGTGATGTGTCATTTAATGTCACGTTAACTTACCATTTTCAAATATTGACACATAAACATTCTCTGGTTTTAATATTTGTATCAATTTTAATAATTGTTCATTGAAATCATATAATATATCTTCATTATTATAGAAATTTGCAGCTATAAAAATCTTTTGTTGTGGTAGATTATATAATGGTAAATCTGATAGACTGTATGCGATCAAGATTAAATAAACGGCATATGAATTGAATGAGATAATGTGTGTATATGTGCATGTGGAGTTTAAATAATATATATAAATTAATTAACTAATTAATTAATTAATTAAAATTCCGAAATTAACAACTGACTTCCATAATGTCATCTGATTTCCAATCCAAAAACATGCCCAAAGCATCAAAACCATCAGCATCATCACAAGTACTTTTGTATTTCTTTGACTTGATGATGTTCGTCTTCTTCTCTTACTTGGCATAAAACAAAATTAAAATATTTTTTAGTTTTTATATTCGTTTTCTGAAAAACCACTCTGTAATTAATTAAGTCTCTTACATGGTAAAAATGGTAAAAGGATTGTTACATATTGATGAGTTATGATTCCTCATGATCTTTTTTTTTTCTATTTTACTTCCCAAAAATTAAAAATAATTGAATTGTTAATTTAATTTGTGATCCACAGTAATTACTATAATAACAATAATATATGAAGCGTTGCCCAAGGGTAAAAAGTAAAAACGAGCAAAAGAAGTTGGTTTTTTTGTTACATGCAACCAGACGAAGTGTACATTATTGTTATGTCACAAAGAAATTTCAGGGATTCAGGGACCAAGATTGTTTGACATCACAGTTGTACTGCCTCCTCTCATTTGTTCAAAAAAAAAAAATCAAAAAGTGAAAGTGCCAAAAATCAACAATCTAGAAAGAATTTTTTGGCTAGCAATATCCACCACATTAATATTAATTTAATCTAAACGAAAAAGTAAAGGTCGGATAATTTTTTGATTTCATTAAAATCAGTCCCAAATTTGGTTAGCACGACAATTCTCACATGGTGAACATTGGTATTACCAAGGATTTCAGGGACCAAAATTTAATCATTACCATCACAATTATAATGTGATCAGTTTTATAATATCCCATTTGTTATCTTAAAAGAAAGAGCTGGAATTATCCTTTCCCAAATGAAATTGGATATGGAAACAACTTGTCAATTTTTTTATTTTAGGGCATTTCTAAACTTTCCAATTAATAATAATAACAATAATAATGTTTAACACTTATTCCACTATTATAATTTTTTTAATATATATTACACATTCTCCCAAAACCTGTTGTTTTCACACTTCAATTTGTAATGACACAAAACTTTATTTTTTTGGTGGCTACAAGGAGGACTATTCAATAGGCAGTGATGCCTTTTATTTAGATTTAGGAGAGTTGTTTAGCAGGAGAACACCTAAATGAATAGAAAGATCAAAAGCAAATGTTGAACTAATGCATAGTTCTGTGTGTAAAACAGCCAGAAACTCATTTATATTCATTGGAGGAACTTACAAAAATGATCATAATCCCAGAGAGAGAAAATCCACTTATTGAATATAACCATGAATATGATATATGGCTTACCTTATACTGAAGAACCTTTTGATTGGCAAATAAATACTTAATGTGTTTCAGATAATAAAGGAACTGCTTATATTTTTAGCAGATATACCCAATTTACTCCAACTAACAATATTATGCACATATTGGATACAGTTAATATGATTTGGTCAACAGGGTCAATAGAAAATTCACCATCATATAGACATGGATACACTTCTATTATGTTATCTAATGGTGTGATTGTATATATTGGAGGATGCAATGATTCTGAACGTATGCCAATGAATCTGGTATTAATTATTTTTGTTTAATATTGAATTTTGTATCTTTTAATTTTTTATTAGTTAATAATTTGATTATTTTTTTTAAATAAATGTTTATGATACAAAAATTAATAAATGGTCTTTATTTGTAAGTTATTAAAAAAAAATAGTTTAGTTGTTGAGAAACAAATATTAATTAATTGTTGATATTGATATTGATATTAGAGCACTAGAGGTCAAGATATTGGTTTTTGTGAACATCATTCTGCAGTCTTGGGTGAGACTTTTTAAAAAATACATTAATATTATATATTTATATATTGTCAATTAAATATTAAATATAGGTCCAAATGATTCTATAATTATATTTGGTGGTTATAATTATCATAATCATAATCATAATCATAAATTTCTATATCCTCATTTAGCAGTATTAAATACTGCACATGCCTCTTGTGAATGGTCAACACCAAAAATTTCAAATAATGCTGATACATCCCCATTGCTTTATGGACACAGTGCAACCTCAACTGACAAATATATGATAGTTGCATTTGGTATATTAACAAGCTATCCATATATTATTCATGGATTTAATTTATATTTAAACTTGGTTAAATTAATATATCTTTATATTTAAATTATTTAGGTTATATAAGTTCTAAAATCAAAACTAAAAAATACAATAAACATTTATATATTTTTGACATGGAATCTTATAGCTGGATTGATAAATTTATTGTGTTAGAATCACTACCAAAACAACCTTCACATTTTCCTGTTAATCCTTATTATAACAAATTCATTAATCTTTTTGTCATTTGGTGATTTTAACTTTAGTTGTTGGACATATTTATATGAAGTCAATAAATAATTAGTTGTATAATTGGATTATAATATTATAATATTAAGATAATAAATAATTTATTGTGAAGCTCAATTGATTAATTTAATTTACATTGGTGTTTTGAGAAGGGAAGAAAATTAAGAATCCCAGAAATGGTTCCTTTCCAAATATTGTGGCAACACTTGATGTTATTGGAGTCTTTAGGATTGCATGTGAAAATGTACTTGGTGTTATGAGAAAAATAAAGACATATTGCTTATGCTTCTTGAAGAAGCATTTGTTTATGATCCTTTGATATTAGATTTGTGATACCATTTATTTATAAATTTTTTAGGAAAATAAATATTTTAGAGGTTTAATATTTTTTAAATGCCTATATAAATTTATTAAGTGATGGTTGTAGTACTTGAGTAACAGGATGAATATCAGCAAATAAACGATTTGGCAAACTTTGATTTTTCTTTGCTTGTGCTGCCAATAATCTTTCTAATAAATACAAATAAATAAAAATGGATTAATGTATATTTGGATGTATATGTATGTGTGCATATATATATATATTTAATAATAATTATAGTTACCAGCTGCACTTCCATGACGTTCACCTTTACCATCCTTTTTGAATGCATATGAAACAGTAATTGGTTTATTCATCAAATATTGGCCATTCATAGCATCAAT